CAATAAATAACATTAAATAACATTGAAAGGTTGGGGGTTGGGGCCAATGAAGCATCCATTGAAGGAGTAATGATGCATGGGAACCACTGCCATATACACAGCTCATCCAGGTGTAACAAGATCGTTTATTCGTTTAATAAGCGCTCCAGTCCTCCTTTATGAACCTATTCCTGAGCCTAAGCCCAAGTGTAGTCCATTGCTATATTTCACCTTGTTTCTCGCCACCTATTTCTGATTCGAACAATACCAGAGGTGGGTAACAGCGCGCTATTCGCTGACCATATAAATGAATCTTCAAAGGGTTCAGCTGCCATTCAACCGAACAGTAGATTAACTAGCGAAACTTAGTGAAATAGGTGGATAGCAATAGAGCGCTATTCCCTAGTTAGCGAATAGCGCTCTATTCCTCGTCTCTGCTGATATCAGGTTCAATAATATTAGGAAAGGAATCCCCATAAGCACAGAAAACTTCGACGCAATGATACGAAACAGTTCGGTGTTCGTTTTGAATCGGCGAGTTTTTAATTGCGCTCAAGATGATACGTCTCAACAACTGAATCTTCAAAGCGTTCAGCCGCCATTCAACCCAACAACAAATTTAATTCAATAATGGCTGATAATGACCGCGTTAAATTTTTAATTTATTGCAAAGAATTTTATGACCTCATCAAATTTCTATCCATTCATATAAAACGGCGCATCGATTTTCTGATGAATTCTTCACTGAAACAATTATTTATTTGTTCAATTATTCACTTGGATTTTTGGTATTACACTATGGAAAAAAGTTTCAATGCGAAATTCCACTGAACATTCCTCTTCACTATGCTTTTCAATTTTGTTCCGCTGGTTTAGTGTTGAATATATTTTCTGCTTTAAAAAAGTTATTAATAACGCTGCTCAACAATGAATAGCGCCGAAATATCGTGCGATATTTCCGTATTTTCTGCGTATCATTTCGTTCAGTTGTTCACTTGTTTATTACTGTTCACTTTATTATCGTTTTACTTTACTATACTATCGTCCTAATCGTGTTTTGGAAAAGTTAATCATAGGACGATCGCGTTGCTCCACCTATATATTTCGTAAATTTTGATTAATTCTTATTTGTTTAGTTGCTCCAAGAAACTTTCGTGAATATTCAGGAAACTTGAGTATCTGACGAAGTTTTTTGACTTTACGACAGAAGGCAAACAAGGAATATTTGTTCGAGTTTAAGTTCACTCATGTCTTTAAACCTAAACAGATTGATCGAGAGCAGTTTGGTCAATTCGTTCATTTTATTTGGACTTGATTTACACTTCTGCTAAAATCTTTTCATGCAATTCCGCTAATAGGAAGTATGGAGGAAAAGAAAACAGTTATGAAAAAACCGAACGTAGAGGCATAAAAGAATTAAAAATAACTTTTTTATACTGTCACATTTGTGTTTTTGCGATAGAATAATCTCAGTAATTATGGTAATACTTCCAATAACTATATGTCATAATATCAAGTATCAGAACAAATATCATCAATACTAGTGATACGAATGAACACAACATCAACTGTAAAAATCACATCAATATATCATATCTTATAGGAATAATTCTATCAATACTCAAAATGAAAACATTTCAGCAAAACCGATGAAAAAACACAACAAACAACCTCGAAATGAACAAAGAGAGCATCGGAATCATCAATAAGATAATAAAGCAGATTTAATGTAAAAGCTAATTTTGAGCTTTTATTGAGCTTATTTGAATAGATAATAATGAATGGAGTTAACCAGAAAACACTGATGATAATGATAATGATAGTAGTAGTGCTAATAG